TCACTGAAATATATGGATTCTCTCTGTATGGAATTCTAACTTTTTGTCGATGAAAATGTGTACTTCTCAATTGGATTTCGGACAAAGCACCACATAAATCATTTTGGATCCAGGCTGTTTTCTGAATCTGAATTAGAATTATTTTATTCCCATTGACGGGAAGTTGCGATCTATGAATTTACTTTTGCATACGGTGCAATCACATGTCATGAATAAGACATAAAGGTTTGTAGCTGTGCAATTATTACTAGAGTAAAGTATAAAGTGGCATTCAAGAATATTTTGCCGTCACAAAACCTGTATGGGGGAATGGAAACAAAATGTCTGGCCGGGCGTGTAAACATTCATCTGACTAGCCAGCGCTAACAGTTCAGCTAACGACATTAAAAAAGCTCACAAATGAGTTGTGTGCTTTGAGGATTAGACACACTTGCTAATGCCGTGCGTATGCTAGCTCTGACGCTCTGAGCCAAAACAGCTGATGTCGGACATTTGTTTGGGGAAAGAAAAGTTTGTTGATGCGCTAAGCTAACGAAGGCCATGATGCTAGCACAAAGCAGCGGGCGGGCGCTGAGTTAGCACTGACTCTGAGAGAAGAAAAGAAGAATTATGAAGAAGTCAGACTCTGCAAGTGTCAACCCGACCAATCACTCACTCATAACACTGCCATCCTGTCTTCTTTGTTGTGTGGGAAGAGAGAGAGGGAGAGAGAGAGAGAGGGAGGGAGAGAGGGAGAGCAGAGAGAGCGAGGGAGGGAGAGAGGGAGAGAGAGAGCAGAGAGAGCGAGGGAGGGAGAGAGGGAGAGAGAGAGAGAGAGCAGAGAGAGCAGAGAGAGAGCAGAGAGAGAGAGAGAGAGAGCGAGGGAGGGAGAGAGGGAGAGAGAGAGAGGGAGAGAGAGAGAGAGAGCAGAGAGAGCAGAGAGAGAGCAGAGAGAGAGAGAGAGAGAGAGAGAGAGGGAGGGAGAGAGGGAGAGAGAGAGAGAGAGCAGAGAGAGCGAGGGAGGGAGAGAGGGAGAGAGAGAGAGAGAGCAGAGAGAGCAGAGAGAGAGCAGAGAGAGAGAGAGAGAGAGAGGAGGGAGGGAGAGAGGAGAGAGAGAGAGAGAGCAGAGAGAGCGAGGGAGGGAGAGAGAGAGAGAGAGAGAGAGCAGAGAGAGCGAGGGAGGGAGAGAGGGAGAGAGAGAGAGAGAGCAGAGAGAGCGAGGGAGGGAGAGAGGGAGAGAGAGAGAGAGAGAGAGAGAGCGAGGGAGGGAGAGAGAGAGAGAGAGAGAGAGAGAGAGAGAGCAGAGAGAGAGCAGAGAGAGAGAGAGAGAGAGCGAGGGAGGGAGAGAGGGAGAGAGAGAGAGAGAGCAGAGAGAGCGAGGGAGGGAGAGAGGGAGAGAGAGAGAGAGAGCAGAGAGAGCGAGGGAGGGAGAGAGGGAGAGAGAGAGAGAGAGAGAGAGAGCGAGGAGGGAGAGAGGGAGAGAGAGAGAGAGAGAGAGAGAGACTAGAGAGAGAGAGAGAGAGAGACCAGAGGTAGACTAGAGAGAGAGAGAGAGAGAGAGACCAGAGAGAGGGAGACTAGAGAGAAAGAGAGAGACCAGAGGAAGACTAGAGAGAGAGAGAGAGGCCAGAGAGAGGGAGTCTAGAGAGAGAGAGGGAGAGACCGAGAGGCAGACTAGCGAGAGAGAGACCAGAGAGAGACCAGAGAGAGGCAGACTAGAGAGAGAGAGAGGGAGAGTCTAGAGAAAGAGAGACCAGAGAGAGAGAGCACTGAGAGACCAGAAAAAAACAGAGGGAGAAAGTAAGAAAGAGAAAAAAATATTTTTCTGGTTTCTGCTCTGGATTTTTTTTTTTTAAAGGGAACAATAAAAATGGTTAAGGAAAAAAGGAAACAGTATTCTATCTTCAACACCAGAGAACATGTTATAATTTGCATAGATAGAATAACATTCTTTTATTATGAATATAAAACCCTAACCCTCCAACTGCTGCTCCGTATGGAATCCTTCTGACTTTATATTTCAGACTTTGTCCACTTTGTTCAACGCACCATAAACAAACACCATTCATTCTGGTCAAGATATGAATTAAAATGACGAGTAAATTCACATCTCATTGAAAAGTTTAACATTTGCAGCGAAGATCTCTCTGTCGACATTTCCAACATTTCCAAAGTCTCTCTCAGTCACAGAGTTCTTATCGTATGAACTCTACTGTGACAAGAGCTCTAATGCTCTAATGTCGTCTCAGAGATAGACTGGAGAAAAGTCCTCGCTGCTGCTGCTGCTGCTGCTGCTGCTGCTGCTGCTGCTGCTGCTGCTGCTGCTGCTGCTGCTGCTACTGCTGCTGCTGCTGCTGCTGCTGCTGCTGCTGCTGCTGCTGCTGCTGCTGCTGCTGCTGCTGCTGCTGCTGCTGCTGCTGCTGCTGCTGCTGCTGCTGCTGCTGCTGCTGCTGCTGCTGCTGCTGCTGCTGCTGCTGCTGCTGCTGCTGCTGCTGCTGCTACTGCTGCATTTTTATCTACATCACAATTCCCTATGATTATTGATAGCCCGCCTCGGTCCGCTTCATTAAGCACTCGTTTGTCATGGAGCCTGGACTGGATCATCTTTCAGAGCGGGAGAAGAAGCAGCTGCAGGAGGATTCTCTAACGTCACAAAATCATGATTTAATTGGCTTTTTAGCAGTGCACACAGCAGTTTTTACAGTTCAAGGTTCTGCAGCTCAGCTCCCTGTCGTCTGTGTTTCTTATTTACAGCTTTTTATGATTGTTTTTGGAGAGACTGAGACACTGTGATGCTTTGGGCTGAGAAGAAGGTCTCATCTTTTACTGTCTAAGAAAGTGGATATAAAATAGTTCCAGATGCCAAAAATACAGTACAGAGCATAAGTGTGGACTCCCTCTCTCCTTCACTGAGTTCTGTTCATGACTATTGCTGTAGACCCGCACCAGGCTGTGTAAGGGCCGGACCTGAACCCAGTCCAGATGGTTTTGGACCTGAACCCAGTCCAGATGGTTTTGGACCTGAACCCAGTCCAGATGGTTTTGGACCTGAACCCAGTCCAGATGGCTTTGGACCTGAACCCAGTCCAGATGGTTTTGGACCTGAACCCAGTCCAGATGGTTTTGGACCTGAACCCAGTCCAGATGGCTTTGGACCTGAACCCAGTCCAGATGGTTTTGGACCTGAACCCAGTCCAGATGGTTTTGGGACTGGACCACAGAGTGAAGGGGCCAACAAGTGCTAAGCATCATGGGAACTCCTTCCAGACTGTTGGAGACCATTTCAGGTCCTGTTGAAGCTCATCCAGAGAATGCCAAGAGTGAAGCAGCATCAGAGCAAAAGGAGCTGCTTTGAAGAACCAGAATATAACACATATTTACACTTGGTTCATACTTTTTTACTACAAACATAATTCACATGAGTTCATCATAGGTTTGATGCCCTCAGTGTCAATCTACAGTTTTGATAGTCATGAAGAAAACTCTTGAGAAGGTGTGTCCAAACTTTTGGTCTGTACTGTACATGATAAAACCAGACTGTTCAAAAATACTGAATTTAAAACTGAGGAACAAACATTTGTTTCATAAATAATCCATTGGTGCCATTTTTACATATTGCTCCAGTTGCTTCTGTCAATCCTAATATGTTCATTCACTGCAAATGACAAAATACAAAAATAAATACAAAAATAAGGCAAATTAAGCATTATCTTCAGCTGATGCTCGATACAGATGTGTATAGATCTAAGTGACCAAATTTAAAATCTTCATTTTCAACTGAAAGAGTAAACGAAGAATTTGGCAGGGACTGGCCTCCTGCTGGTCCCAGAGTCAGGACTAAACCTGGAAAGGCAGCATTTCAGATTCATGTTTGGCTGTGCTACAACTGAATGATTTCATCTTTGATCTTATCTTAATATTAATATAAAACTCGTGACAAGAGAAGCTGATAGACCCGGCTTGGTCTGGGGATTGAACTCACAACCCTCCTGTACCGGCCTCACTTCACCACATTCAGATGATGTTTGATCTCTCCACCGCTCATGAGACTTTAGCACTAATGTGAGGAAGACAAAAGCACATCAGAGACGGTGGACATAACAGATGTGATGATGACGGAGACGGTCTGCAGAGGATTCGTTGATGTGCTGTAAGTTGCACAGAAACCTTCAGAGATTCACCTATAGATGTTATAAAACTGAAATACAATACATAGATTGTTGCTGAAGCCAGAGCGAGAGCCAAAAACAATATTGCAACATCATTTAGATCTCATAAGCCTTTTCTATTTAGACTGAAAGGACAACTCACCCTCAAATCCACTTTTTTTTGCTGATAAACGGTATAAATGAGTGTCCTAATTTGTCACTTTCTGTGCAAATTAGTTGAAAGTTAAACTTTCTGCCTAAAACCGTCTGTGAGGCGCCATCTGCTGGCGGCCTGTATTACTACATTTGAATTTTGAATCTGGCGCCAACACTGGCACAGCAGCAAGACCTGACGTCAGTAGCCCCCCGCCCAGAGCTATATAAACGGCCCAGTCTCGTTCACGCCCCCTTTAGTCCTCCAGGCTACGCCCATTTAGAGGAAGATTTGAACAGGAAATGTGAGTGACATAAGCTCCGAGGATCTCTGAACTACTGTTATCAGTTAAAGAAGGATTGGAAAAGAACAGATTATTATAATACATTATATATATATAATATATATAATACATACATACTCCTCACCTACAAGTCCCTCCATAACCTGGCCCCTCTTACCTCACTGACCTCCTCCATCATCACTGTCCCTCCCGCCGCCTCAGATCCACAGACTCCAACCTCCTCACTCCCCTTTAATGACGACAGATTAGGGCCCTTTAATGATGACAGATTAGGGCCCTTTAATGACGACAGATTAGGGCCCTTTAATGATAACTGGACATGAAAATCTTACATATTGCTTCTTTAATGTGATTTAATAACTGGTGTTGACCCCATTGGCTCACATCCTCTGTCCATCCTCTGTCCATCCTCTGTTCATCCTCTGTCCATCCTCTGTCCATCCTCTGTCCATCCTCTGTTCATCCTCTGTCCATCCTCTGTCCATCCTCTGTCCATCCTCTGTTCATCCTCTGTCCATCCTCTGTCCATCCTCTGTCCATCTCGTCTCCTTGTCATCCTCTGTCTCCATCCTCTGTCATCCTCTGTCCATCCTCTGTCCATCTCATCTGTCCATCCTCTGTCCATCCTCTGTCCATCCTCTGTCCATCCTCTGTCCTCTCACTGTCCTCTGTCCATCCTCTGTCCATCTGTCTCTCTGTCATCCTCTGTCATCCTCTGTCCATCCTCTGTCCATCCTCTGTCCATCCTCTGTTCATCCTCTGTCCATCCTCTGTCCATCCTCTGTTCATCCTCTGTCCATCCTCTGTCCATCCTCTGTTCATCCTCTGTCCATCCTCTGTCCATCCTCTGTCCATCCTCTGTTCATCCTCTGTCCATCCTCTGTCCATCCTCCACATCCTGCTCCGTTTGTTCTTCCCACTGCCCTCTCCTCGGGTCAGCTTGTAGCATTGTTGTACCACGACTTACAAGTGCAATCCTGTTGGACGCCTGTTCTGCGGCTCTGTACTGCTCTGCTCAGCTCTGTGTGAGGCCAGCAGGGAGCAGCGACGCCTCGGTGGGGGAGGGAGATGCTGCCCTTGTTTGGCTCTTTTCCCAGATATTTGAGGAAGCCTAATAGAGTTCAGAGCCAGAGAGTTCAGTAAATGATGAAATCACAATGAAGTGTTTGGGACATCCGTATGATGTACTTGTGAACGCTGATTCTAACAGTTTCTCTGGATAAAAGCAAACAATCAGGCACATAAACTGTGGAAAGGAACTTTGTTTATGGTATTATAAACATTTCCTCCAGGTGCTCCGGTGTCTCTTTCCACTAAAAACATGTGCAATAGGTCTGAGAGTGTATTGTGGTGGTGCCTGGTGTTCGGCGTTTCGCTCCTGCCAACGCTGTGTGTGGAGAGAATTAAAATCTCTGTGTGACCTTGGACTGTGATTATTTACTCTCTAAATTGTCTTATAATTGGTGCAAACCTAACAATCGCTTCAGTGTATATGAAAATGTTTTGCTTTAACCCTGCTGAGTCTAATTTGATTATATAATTGCTGAGAACTAATGTAGAGAGTTACAGTATCTACAGCAGGGGTCTCCAACCTGTACTCTCCTCCCCTTTCAGGTTTCTCCCCAAAGCATGGAGCTCTCTAGTGCAGGGTTTACAGTCTTATGACACATGTAAATGTGTGTTCTCCAGGATTTGCCGTGGTTATTAGATAGGCCTGAATTATGCTACATTGCACAAGCACTTGGGCATGTGATCTGTACTTTCTTAAACTGCACCAAACTAGCACTTTGGACAATGTGTGTACCTTGTTGTTTATTGTGTAAATGCTGTGTCTCACTGTGGTCTGTCACTAGTGCTGTGTTGTATCCTGGCACTGATTGGACTCTGCAATACTGTGGCATGTGTTGAAATTGGGCATCGGAATCTTGAACCTGGAATGGAAAAAGATATCGCTCTCTGCCATTTCTGTCTAAAAGTGGCTCTCCGATCGATTAAGTTTGAGACCCCTGATCTGCAGCTTTAAGTGAGACACAGATCAGCCACATTTTACACAGAGAAGGATGTGCCATTTTCTGCTAATACTGTATGAGATGTAGCAGCGTTCAGGATCGTGTTGGATACTGTAAGTGCCCGTAGTGCTGGAGACCCCCTGCTGAGAGATTTTATTGAATTTGCCGTGTGGGTCCTAAACACATTCCCAACGCCTTAAGATATACCGTCCCAGCAGGTACGACCTTGTAATGTGAGAAATCAGGTAATTAAATCATAGCACGGATCTGTAGGAGTCACGATATGTAACTCTGCATAACATTCACTGTTCCTTTGATGAAGAGTCTCGGCTTCTGGAGTCATTACTGTAGCTCTCCTGAACAGTTGTAATAACATCTAAAAGTATGTTTCTCCACTGCGGGACCATTAAAGGATCACTTCATCTCTTATGTCGCCAAAATATATTTCTGCAACTGGATCTAGTCCAATGTTAGAGGTCTGCAACAAACAGCATGTGTTTATAATACACTTATAACTAATTCTGTGTCGGAGCTTTTCCATATTTTCCCAGGTGTTGTTCTTAATGTTGGTACTTAATGATAATAATGCATCAGTTGAATTATTTATGTAATGCTTTTTTGGATAATTAGTCATTATTGGTCATTTTTCTTTCTCTCCAGACACAATGACTTCAATAAAACCACCAGAAAATGTATATGCAATGAAATGGAACTGCTCCCTGCTCTCTAAACATGTTCCATCTCTGGCTTTCACACTAAAACTAGTTTCATTTTTGTTTTGTCCTATTGTCATTCCTAGATCAGGTTTTTCAGACGGAGAGGACCACTCCCTCATCCAATCAGCTTTGTGGAGGTCAAAAAGTGTTTGTTTAAAAGGTCTCTGTCTAACCCTGACCCATAACTGTGTTTTCTAATAAGGTCAAGACGGTACCTTGTGATTTGACTTCTTCTCAAAATGTTGTGATTGTGGTACAAACATGTATTATTTGTGTGGGGAGAAAAGTTGGGTACCCCAGCTTTAATTCAATGTCCCTGCTTAAGATAATAATGTGGTATTTTGCTCACCCCTGCGTCATTGATCTAAAACGGCTTTCAAGTAGAAACACAAAAACTTACTTTATTCAGAACTGCCTTTTCATACATGTACTTAAAGTTAAGTTTAAGATACACATTATTACATTGTCCCAGTGTGGAAATCTGTTTGACCCGCGGCATTTTAACAGTGTCAGTATAATCCCTCGTATCTGCGTCAAAGTTCACCCCTTCAGCCGACCGCGTATCCAGCCTCGCCCACATTGGTCCATTCATCCTTCCCTCAGTAGAATTAAAAAGCTTCTTCGCTGCAGCGGTGAGCCTCGGCGGCGCGGCGAGCAAGGTCAGTGCTTCTGTTGAGGATGATGCGTAGTGACGGATGCTCTCCCCATGGGCTCGCGTCTCCACAGGTTGGCGGGTTGAGCTAAGGTGTGCGTGCTACGATGCGTCACGCCGGTGCGAGAGCATGCTGGGAACAGGGTACTAACCACGCGGCATGAGGCTCGGCGTCAAACGCAAAATACAACTCGCAGGGACAAGGGTGGAGGAGTGTGGTTTGAGTTTAAAGAAACTGGGAATTCTTTATGTTCAATTCAGTGTGTTTGTGTATTGACCTAAATCACAACAGTGGTAGAAGGTCTAGGTACTGGTGGTGACATAAGGCCAATAGGTACTGTTGACATAAGGCCAATAGGTACTGTTGACATAAGGCCAATAGGTACTGTTGACATAAGGCCAATAGGTACTGTTGACATAAGGCCAATAGCTACTGTTGACATAGGGCCAATAGCTACTGTTGACATAGGGCCAATAGGTACTGTTGACATAAGGCCAATAGGTACTGTTGACATAAGGCCAATAGCTACTGTTGACATAAGGCCAATAGGTACTGTTGACATAAGGCCAATAGCTACTGTTGACATAGGGCCAATAGCTACTGTTGACATAGGGCCAATAGGTACTGTTGACATAAGGCCAATAGCTACTGTTGACATAGGGCCAATAGCTACTGTTGACATAAGGCCAATAGGTACTGTTGACATAAGGCCAATAGCTACTGTTGACATAAGGCCAATAGGTACTGTTGACATAAGGCCAATAGCTACTGTTGACATAGGGCCAATAGCTACTGTTGACATAGGGCCAATAGGTACTGTTGACATAAGGCCAATAGCTACTGTTGACATAGGGCCAATAGGTACTGTTGACATAGGGCCAATAGGTACTGTTGACATAGGGCCAATGTTGACATAGGGCCAATAGGTACTGTTGACTTAGGGCCAATAGGTACTGTTGACATAAGGCCAATAGGTACTGTTGACATAAGGCCAATAGCTACTGTTGACATAAGGCCAATAGGTACTGTTGACATAAGGCCAATAGGTACTGTTGACATAAGGCCAATAGGTACTGTTGACATAGGGCCAATAGGTACTGTTGACATAAGGCCAATAGGGGGGGCGACAGTGGCTCATTTAGTCTGAAGGTTGGAAGGAGACCTTCTCCACCAACTCCCACTGGTGTGTCCTGTCGTAGTGTCCTTGGGCGAGACACTTAACCCCACTTAGCCTGAAGCCCCCGCTGAAAGATCAAGACTAGAGCAGCCGTCCTCCTGTGGACTCAACACTTGAAGGGCTGGATTAAGGGGAAGAATGTACTGTATGTTGAGGTATATTGAACACTTTACTGCTTCGATTGTGTTAGAATATTCTTGTTTTATAGATTTTTCTGAAGAAAACGTTTGAAGATTTAAACATAAAAACTCTAGTCCTCTTACTCAACCTTTCCTAAATGAACAATGGCTTAGCACCAACTCCAATTCTCTCTTAATTACTCCCGTTGAGTTACAAGAAACTTAGAGAGACTGACTCAAGGCGACGATTAAACATAATTTTTCTTCACTGAATTAATCCCTGTTTGTGCCCCGTTCACTCCAAACTGAAAGTGGGTCTAAGTTCCCCAGAGCGCACACGACTCTTGGATTTTGTCACATTGATGCTTGTGCGAATCGTCCCTCCCTCGGCATGAAAACAAATGAGGCCTATTTGTAAATGGTGCAGTCGTTTAGGCGTATTGACCGGGCCGCGGCGCTGTGAGTCATGTGACGTCGAACACCCTGTCACGCTTGAATCACGTCGACAGAAGCTGAGCTCGTGAGAATACTCAGGATTTACAAAGGCTCTCAAGCACAATGGCTCTGGCTACTTTACCAGTGTATTCATATATGCTTTTGAAAATCATAAATACAAGATGAAGGAATGATCTTTTACAAGTCAGTCCTCACAGACATAATCAAGATAATTCACTCACTTTATACATCGTAGATCATAGTTAATAATAATAATAATTCATTTCATAGCGCCTTTTCAGACACCCAAGGACGCCTCACAATACAATTAAAAAACATCACACACATTATTAAAAGCAGCATTTGACAATTTATATTTTCATAGTATTGATATTTTGTCCCATTGCATTTGTAGCTCCATTAATATCAAGGCATTGAATGAATGAATGAAGCTTTTATTACGGACACATGGTCCAACATTGACACACACAAAAAAAGACAAAACATACAAGTTAAAAAGACAGAAGACAACTAAAGCAGTGCGCCCCCTGGTGGCCTGCAAGGTGTTGACTCTTGCAGAAACATCTCACTCGCTCTGGTCCATCTCGGCCTCCTCAGAAGCACTCAGAGCATTATTATGAGCCACCTGCAGCTTTTGCAAAGATCCTTTTTTGTAGTTGGACCAAAGGTGAGCGGTGTTCAGAGGTGTACAGTAGGTCTTAAAGAGCCTTATTTTGACCTGGTCTGTGCAGAATCCAAATCTGCGTTTCAGAGTATTGGCCTGAGCGTAGAACATCCTACATTGTCTCTTAATGTCCTCATCATCAGAAAGGTCCTCTGTAACTGTATTTAGCTTGAGACAGTAAGTGAAGTGTTTGACAGATAAAAAAACAGGAAAGTTCATATTTCTGTCCTCCTTTGTCTTACACATGACCATACTTTCTGATGCATTAAACAGGTCATGCTCTATACCGTACTGTGAACAGATACTGAGTTATTGCTGCAGTCCCGAAGTGCTGGGACTGAAGACCACCAAGTCCTCAGTGTACAAAAGGTGATTTAAAACACTATCTCCAGATAAACAACCAGTTTGACAAGCTTTAAGTCTCATAGAAAGTTCGTCCAGATAAATATTAAAAAGAATTGGGGACAGAATCCCCCCTTGTTTCACCGCATTGCCAACCATAAATGGAGCAGACACACTTCACTTGCATTCTCTGTTGCCTATACCAAAACACTAAGATCCTCACGATATATTTCAGCACACCCTTCTGAATTCATTTTATGAATAATTTTCTATGGTTAACCCTATCAAAAGCTTTGGACGCATCCAGAAAGCACATAGAATTGTGCATTGGTACAATTCTCATATTTTTTAGATCTATATAGGCCTCAACATAATACATACATAACATTTGGATCCAAATGACCTTGTCTTTCCAATGTAAATGCTCAGGAGAAGGATTGACCGTTTACACAGCGTTCCAAAGCGAGACCTGCTCCAACTCAAAACAACTGCTGTGATAAAAAGCAGGGAAATACATTCTTTTGTTCTTTCATCCTGTTCAGCGCAGATCCCTGTGTTCTTCAATGGACTCCACCGGCGCTTTGACAGTTTTTGAAGTGATTATACTGCGTTTCAAAGGAGTCCCGCTGGTGACAGGGCAATAGGGTTTCGCATTTTATAATTCAGATCAAAACGGCACAAGGCGGCGCCGCGGTAAAGAGGTTGTCCTTGTAGATAGATGGTCCTATTTTTAGTCATAATAGCGATTTCTGGGAATTTGTCGAGGTTGTCCCCTTTCCCCCGTCAATTTCACACTGTTGACCATGGGCTGAAATGGCGGCGCAGTGGATTCTACCTCCATGGCTTTTCTCTGTGGACTTTGCATGTTCTCCCTATGCCAGGTTTCCTCCGGGTGCTACGGTTTCCCCTCCCACTAAAAAAAGTACAATAGGTGTGGCTTGAATGAGTGTGACTGTGAGACAACAGATGCACATTAGCTACATGGCTATTATCTGGTGTCATTTCAGCTTCTGCCGGTCGGCAGAAGCATTATGGTCTGTGTACACAGACCATAATGCTATTCTTTTTGTATTGTATTTGTGAACAATTCATTGATATCATAAAAAGTGTCGCCCGATAAACTTCCTTAGACACTCCCACAGATGTACAGAACATGTAACACTGATCTAGTTTTAGTTTATTGTAGCCAGAAATGTGTAGATTGTACAAAAACAGTTTAATAATACTTTTGAGATGTTGATTTAGAAGAGTTGTGTTTTGTGGCTGTTGCACTGGAGCATGTACTGGTCGTTTACCTTCCAACACTGACCATGGCTCTTCAGAGCTGCTCTTATTGTGGATGTTAATTTGTCAAAGTCACAGAGTTATTAGTGAAGTAAATGTTGTAATACACTTTGGTCAAGGGCTCAGAGACACTTTTATTGTTGTGATCTTTCTATTCCAATTACACAATACAATACAATACAATACAATGTATTGTTGTATAGCCCTAGGTCACAACAGAAGTCATCTCAGAGACTTAACAAAACCATTGAAATCACCAACACAGGTCAGAGAATCAACAGTTAAAACACATGAAGAATATAAAGCACACACAGAAGAAAATGTCCATACATGTTGTAGAATGCTAAAGTGTCCTGATCATCACCAATCCTTTCTGTTGGACACTAACTGTCCAACAAGACCCTCCTGCATCCACAAGGAACAACTCTTAAAAAACCCAGTGGGAAAAAGTGAGAAACCTTGGAGGAGAACTAGGGAAACCCACAGGGAGGGAGACCCATATGAGAAAGGGATCCGCTCCTCCGGACGGACAGACTAATGATCTAGGACCTAAGCTAGCTACAGAACGTGGACCAGTGGACGCTGAACGTGGACAGGTCCGGTGCAGGACTGAAGCACTCCCAGGCGGGTCAGGCGGGGCAGTCCGCAGGTGTAGATGGAGGAGGCCAGGCTCAGAGATCCCGTCATCGTACCATGAAACAGACAATGGGACAACGGGTGAATAGCAATGAACAACCTACAGTCAGAATCCTAAAAATGCTAAACAGATAAAGTAGGAAGGAGGAGAGGATAGTGCTCAAGTTACCATACTTCTCCCAGAAAACTGACTCCCTATGCAGCTTGACAATTGGTAAAGATACCAATTGTCCAGACTACAGCAGACAGAAGCGTCTGATGAATCATTTATTGAGTAGTGAAGAGGATGCGGCGGCTGTGGAGGCTGTGGCGGCTGCGGCGACTGTGGCGACTGTGGCGGCTGTGGCGGCTGTGGCGGCTGTGGCGGCTGTGGCGGCAGCGGCGACTGTGGCGACTGTGGCGGCTGTGGCGGCAGCGGCGGCTGTGGCGGCAGCGGCGACTGTGGCGGCTGTGGCGACTGCGGCGACTGTGGCGGCTGTGGCGGCAGCGGCGACTGTGGCGGCTGTGGCGGCTGTGGCGGCAGCGGCGACTGTGGCGACTGTGGCGGCTGTGGCGGCAGCGGCGGCTGTGGCGGCAGCGGCGACTGTGGCGGCTGTGGCGACTGCGGCGACTGCGGCGACTGTGGCGGCTGTGGCGGCAGCGGCGACTGTGGCGGCTGTGGCGGCTGTGGTGGCTAGTTTATCTCCACCATGTACAGAGTGAATGAATGATGACATGTTTAGTAAACTTTAGTGTCCAAAAAGCACTATTTCAAACTGATTATTATCACTTCTGACCCTCTGCCGAATAATTGTTGTTAATATAAGACTAAAAACATGTGTAAAGATACTTTTACGATGGTTGAACAAAAATGAAGAGAGGAAATGTAGTAGTCGATGATGCTAATGCTGAGGTCGGCGATCTGCCATTTCAAACATTTCAAGCAATTTTGTATTTTAATATTGTTATGGTACGGTAAGGATTTTATGTTTACAGGGACAGTGTACAATGGACATTAGCCAAAAGGAGAATGCATTGTACCAGGCTGTAGCCGTGCCAGGCTGTAGCCGTGCCAGGCTGTAGCCGTGCCAGGCTGTAGCCGTGCCAGGCTGTAGCCGTGCCAGGCTGTAGCCGTGCCAGGCTGTAGCCGTGCCAGGCTGTAGCCGTGCCAGGCTGTAGCCGTACCAGGCTGTAGCAGCAGTGCTAGTTTATACCTGTTGTCCCTATTCATTTGTATAATTCTTTTGTCTCCTGAGATATTGCTTGTGCTTTTAAGTTGCTCACACTGGAGGTGAGTTATAAGTGGCATAAAAACATGATGTAACACCAGCGTTGGTCAAGGACACTCCAGATGATGTCAAACTTCACCTCTGCGGTTTGTGGCGCTGGTCTTTTGTCTTCATCTTTCAGACGAGAGAGCGGCTAACTCTTGTTTTCGTTAGCATTCTGGTGATGGCGAGAGCGTGCCGGCCGTGCCCTTCCCCAGAGGACACTTCCACAGAGGGGAGCCAATGACAGGGTTAACTGCTGAGACTGCTGCGGGTTTTCACCACCTCCTCAGAGGCTGGTCCTGGTGATGCAGACACTAAACAAGTGAAAACAATCTAATCCATCATTAAGAAAGATCAACATTATTTTTTCCCATATCAACCCGAATAGAAATCCAAAAGAGGGTAATGTGGAAGTCCGACCCCGGAGACTCTTTCTCTCTGACAGTGAGCCACAGCTGGACTACACATGAGAATAATAACAATAATTCATCATTTATATAAAAAGCCCTTCTTTGGACACTCACAGACACTTCACATGCCATTCATCGACTGATTGATTTAATAATAATAATAATAATAATACATCAAACTTGTATAGCGCTTTTTTGGACACTCAAAGACGCTTCACATGGGGAGTAATATATAATAATAAAAAAGGGTTTACGGAAAAGCTTGTTTGAAAAGATGGGTTTTGAGACTGATTTAAAGTTTGATAGTGAGAGTTTCTAATCGGCAGTGGGAGTGAGTTCCAGAGGGTTGGGGCGGCAATGGCAAAAGCTCTGTCCCCTGTTGTGGAATTTCTAAAGAGTAAAATGCACAATATTAAATATAAAATAAACAACAAGAGCTGTAATTCAAATCAAAGTGTGGTTTATTATCTCAGTAAATGTGACATATACAGGAAATACAACCGTGTAACCGCGTGGCAGGTCCCGGGTAGATCTGCTGAATAGTGCTCATTCTCTCTCACATTTATAGGATAAAACAAACAGAAGAGTCTATCTATGGCGTCTCTGAGTTCGAGATTAAGAGGCAGCTATGGCCCAAACCCCCCTCTCTTCTGACGTCTTACTCTGATAGACTCTGATATTACTCTGACATTAGGAAGAATTGTCAGTATGACCGGTGAGCCTGCTCTTCTTGCCCCTGGTATCAATCTCGTATCTGCCTCCACCCCGTTCATTGGCCTCGCGTCCCTACAGAACAACAGTTTAGTTAGTTTCAACAGATTTACTAGCTTTGAACTTTGTCCCAGATATCCCATTTCATCATTAGATTTATTCTTAAGTTAAATTGATTTATAATCCCAGTAAGATTTCTATAACACCCCCAAGGTTGGGCGGTTAGTGCGGGTGATGGGGGTGAGGAGGTTGGAATGGGCTGAGCGAAGGCGGCGGGTGGGTTGGTGCTGCTGTAGGAGCTCAGTAAGGGGGCGGGGCCAGGTTATGGAGGGACTTGTAGGTGAGGAGGAGGAGCTTGTAATGGATGCGGTATTGAACGGGAGCCAGTGGAGCTGCTGGAGGACAGGGGTGATGTGTTCTCTGGACCGGGTGTGGGTGAGGAGGAGACGGGCTGCAGAGTTCTGGATGTATTGCAGTTTTTGGAGATGAGTGGTGGGAAGTCCGTAGAGGAGGCTGTTGCAGTAGTCGAGTCTGGAGGTGATGAATGAGTGGATGAGGATTTGGGCTGTTGACTGGGTAAGGGAGGGGTGGAGGCGGGCAATGTTGCGGAGGTGGAAGAAGGAGGTTTTGGTGATGTGTTTGATGTGGGTTTGGTATGAGAGGGTGGAGTCCATTATGATGCCAAGGTTGCGTACAGAGGATGAGGGGGTGACAATGTGACCGTCAATGAGGAGGGTGAAGTTCTGGACAGAGGGCAGGAGAGTTTTGGGGCTGATGATGAGGAGTTCTGTTTTGTTACTGTTGAGTTTGAGAAGGTTATTGTCCATTCAGGTTTTAATGTCGGAGATGCAATTCTCGATGGTGGAGCGAATGACCGGGGTGATGGATTTGGTGGAGATGTAGAGTTGCGTGTCGTCGGCATAACAGTGGAAATGGAGTCCATGATGGCGGATGATCTGACCGAGGGGAAGCATGTAGATGGTGAAGAGGAGAGGGCCGAGCACGGAACCTTGGGGGACACCGTGGGTGACGGGGGAAGTGTGAGACTTGCAATTGTTGACAGACACGAAGTGGAGACGATTGGAGAGGTCAGAGGTGAACCAGAGGAGTGCTGTGCCAGAAATGCCAATGCATTAATGATTGACTTTATTCATTCCTGCAGAGATTATACATAAGTATTTACTATTTTTACAGTATAAACATACATATGCAAATATGTGTGTGTCTGTGTCTGTCTGTCTGTCTGCGTGTGTGTGTGCGTACATCCGTGTCTGTCTGTTTGTCTGTGTCCGTCTGTGTGTGTTCGTGCGCGTCTGTCTGTCTGTGTCTGTGTGTGTGTGTCTGTCTCTGTGTGTGTGTGTGTGTGTGTCTCTGTCTGTCTGTGTATGTGTGTCTGTGCCTGTCTCTGTGTGTGGGTGTGTGTGTGTCTCTGTCTGTCTGTGTATGTGTGTCTGTGCCTGTCTCTGTGTGTGGGTGTGTGTGTGTCTCTGTCTCTCTGTCTGTCTGTGTATGTGTGTCTGTGCCTGTCTCTGTGTGTGGGTGTGTGTGTGTCTCTGTCTCTCTGTCTGTCTGTGTATGTGTGTGTGTATGTCTCTGTGTGTGTATCTGTCTGTCTGCGTGTGTGTGTGTACGCACGTCCGTGTCTTTCTGTGTGTGTCTGTCTGTGTGTGTTTTTCTTCACCACAAATCAGTGTTAGCTGAAGTGTGACGCCCACTGCTCTGTCCTGCTCTGTCCTGCGCTGACCTGGTTCGGCTCACGCTGTGGAGTCGTGCCGATTGTAACTTTGGGGATTCTTTTCTACTTCGTGACGTTTCCGTGACTCACCACAAACTTCCAGGACTCGTCTCTACTTCACGTTCAAACTGTTGCTAAATAAGGACAAACACAAAACATCACTGTGAATGACAACCGGCCACAAGCCACAAGCTGTCCACGGGCTGTCTATGATCGCTACAAATCATAATGTGTGTGTCTGTGTGCGTGTGTGTGTCTGTGTCTGTGTGTGTGTCTGTGTCTGTGTCTGTGTGTGTGTCTGTGTGTCTGTGTGTGTCTGTGTGTGTGTCTGTGTCTGTGTGTCTGTGTCTGTGTGTGTGTGTCTGTGTCTGTGTGTGTGTGTGTGTGTCTGTGTCTGTGTGTGTGTGTGTGTGTGTGTGTGTGTGTGTGTGTGTGTCTGTGTGTCTGTGTGTGTGTCTGTGTGTGTGTCTGTGTCTGTGTGTGTGTGTGTGTGTGTGTGTGTCTGTGTCTGTGTGTGTGTCTGTGTGTGTGTCTGTGTCTGTGTGTCTGTGTGTGTGTGTGTGTGTGTGTGTGTGTGTCTGTGTGTGTGTGTGTGTGTCTGTGTGTGTGTGTGTGTCTGTGTGTGTGTGTCTGTGTCTGTGTGTCTGTGTGTGTGTGTGTGTGTCTGTGTGTGTGTGTGTGTGTGTCTGTGTGTGTGTCTGTGTGTGTGTGTGTGTGTGTGTGTGTGTGTGTGTCTGTGTGTGTGTGTGTGTGTGTGTGTCTGTGTGTGTGTGTGTGTGTGTCTGTGTGTGTGTGTGTGTGGTGTGTGTGTGTCTGTGTGTCTGTGTGTGTGTCTGTGTGTGTGTCTGTGTCTGTGTGTGTCTGTGTGTGTGTGTGTGTCTGTGTCTGTGTGTGTGTCTGTGTCTGTGTCTGTGTGTGTGTGTGTGTGTGTCTGTGTGTGTGTGTGTCTGTGTGTGTGTGTGTGTGTGTGTGTGTGTGTGTGTGTGTCTGTGTGTCTGTGTGTGTGTGTGTGTGTGTGTGTGTGTGTGTGTCTGTGTGTGTGTGTGTCTGTGTCTGTGTGTGTGTGTGTGTGTGTGTGTGTCTGTGTGTGTGTGTGCGTGTGTCTGTGTGTGTGTGTGTCTGTGTGTGTGTGTGTGTGTCTGTGTGTGTGTGTGTCTGTGTGTGTGTCTGTGTCTGTGTGTGTGTCTGTGTGTGTGTGTGTGTGTGTCTGTGTGTGTGTCTGTGTGTGTGTGTGTGTGTGTGTGTGTGTGTGTGTGTGTGTGTCTGTGTGTGTGTGTGTGTGTGTGTGTGTGTGTGTGTGTGTGTCTGTGTGTGTGTGTGTGTGTGTGTGTGTGGTCTGTGTGTGTGTGTGTCTGTGTGTCTGTGTGTGTGTCTGTGTCTGTGTGTGTCTGTGTGTGTGTGTGTGTGTCTGTGTCTGTGTGTGTGTCTGTGTCTGTGTGTCTGTGTGTGTGTGTCTGTGTGTGTGTGTGTCTGTGTGTGTGTGTGTGTGTGTGTGTGTGTGTGTGTCTGTGTCTGTGTGTCTGTGTGTGTGTGTGTGTCTGTGTGTGTGTGTGTGTGTCTGTGTGTGTGTGTGTCTGTGTCTGTGTGTGTGTCTGT